CCCCATCCCTCCCACCCCACCCCCCACTCCAGCAACCCTCAGTTTGTTTCCTGCAATTAAGAATTCCTCGTATCAGTGAGATCATATGATACATGTCTTTCTCTGTTTGACTTATTTCACTCAACATAATACCTTCCAGTTCCATCCACATCATTGCAAATGGCAAGATCTCATTCCTTTTGATGGCTGGCTTTGCATTTCTTTTAATAAGCTAATGTGATACCACATATAATTTATATTTTTACTTTGTCCATTTAGTTTAGTTTTAACATAGTTCTTTTAATCTCTCTAATCTAGAGACACTGCATTTTGTAGAAATACCCTACTTTCAAGATTTTATGCAACACTTTCCAATAAAAAAATTCTGGGTATATTCCCTTTATGATTAATTGGCTCCCTTTTATGTACTGTGTATAAATAAAGACTGACTTGGGCTCATATACTGACCATACAACTTATTAGCTGTGTGCCCTTGGGCAAGTTACTTAATGTCTCAGAGCTTTGGGTTCCCCACCTGTAGAGTAGGAATAACAAAATCTACCTCTCAGGATTGTTGGGATGATAAACGTGATAGCATATGTAAAATGTCTAACATGTAATAACCACTCCGTAAACCTTAGTTTCCTTCTGTGCTGGAGGCAAAGACATCAGGTGCCTCCTTAGTATTTTTGCCTCTTTAGTTCACAAAGCTATTAAAAATGGGCATTGCCTTCCTTTTCTGCTAACTATATCTCGCTGGTTGGCAAGAAACCCAAACCATTTAAGCACTGCCTCGACTTCATTTTACTATTGGTTTGCCCTGCACCCCAGGTGGATCTAAACACCCTATATGACATTCCTGATCTTGCTCCAGGACAGAAATAGAATATAAATCAATATAAAACTTGATCTTTTGATGCTCAGAATGTCATCAGACAGAATGGTGATCTTGCGGTTGTGATTCTGAGAGACTTCCATGGATTTGTCGGTTGGAATTCCGTCTCTCTCACTCGCTCTCTCTTTTTTTTGCCACATGTTGTGCACGTTCCTTCAGCCCTTGACATTTACATCTATCTTCTAGATGGTTGGACTACTGGCTCCCCAGTTTAGTTAGAACTTTGCCAAGTAGCTTGGAAGAGGGGACCCACTTTATATTCTGGAGCCAACTTCATGCCCACTGACCAGAGATCCATCTCTGCCACTAGGTGAAGGTACTGGCACTCTGTCCACTTGACTCCTGATCCTACTTATTGATGCAAACACTTTAAAAATGGATGGCTAAACAACAGAGGATGAAAAATTCAGGATGCTCAAAAATGCTAATGACTACCAGGAAAAAGGCAGCTTGTGCTTACAGAAAGTGCCTTGGAAATTCTCAACACTTCCCTTCTTGTCTTTGCTCCCTTCCTCCCACCAATGTGCACACACAGGCTAAGAGGGACTGGCATCAAGAAGGTCCTGGCTTACTTCATAAGGAGAAGTCATTGTCCATCAGGGGTTCAAATACAGACTCAATAGAAAAAAAGGAACACTTTTTCTTCCCAAGGTTAAGCACAGTGCCATTTGGAACAAGGAATCTCAGTGGAGAGTAGGACTTAAGTTTCTTTTTGGAGGCTGTCTAGGAACATCCAGCACTGTGACTGAAGCCCACTGCATAGTCCTGAATAAGGCACATCCTCTCAGTCTCTTTGGAAGGCATTCCTGGTCTCTGCCATCATGGCTGTCACCTGGGTTTCTAACCCTGTCCTTGCCCCTGAGCTACAGTGCCAGGTCTCTCAGTGGCCCCAAGCCAATGCTTCTTGGGGTGTTCATTAAACTTTCCACAGTGAATTAATCATCTTACTTCCCTTGCTGGTTTTTCTGCTCATTTCTCCTGTTTCTGTTAATGGTACCATCATTTTCTTGGGCCATTCTTTCCACACTGCTCAAAAAAGGTGTGAGGGGCGCCTGGGTGGCTCAGTTGGTTAAGCGACTGCCGTCGGCCCAGGTCATGATCCTGGAGTCGCGGGATCGAGTCCCGCATCGGGCTCCCTGCTTGGCGAGGAGCCTGCTTCTCCCTCTGAGCCTCCCCCCTCTCATGCTCTCTCTCTCTATCTCATTCTCTCTCTCAAATAAATAAATAAAATCTTAAAAAAAAAAATTAAGACTGCTATCCAACTTTAAAAAAAAAAAAAAAAAGGTGTGATTTATTGCTTTAGGTGAAATGCTTCCGTAACAGTAATGGCAGGCGAATTCCCAATATCCATTCATTTCTTCTTTCACAGTAATAGGATTTTCACTTGAGTTGTCCAAGATCAAGACTCCATTTCTTTTAGATTTTCATTTAGATTCCTTTGCCCCTGGGTGTGGACATACTAAGTTCTGGCCAAACGGCTGTGCAACTTCTAGGTCATACCCTTGAAGGGAAGGAGTATGATTTCCTTCTATCCCTTCCTCCATCCTGCTGTGTAGACCATGGAGGAAGTGGAGCAAGCCAGCTGGGAGAACACCAACAAGGACAACACTATAAGGATGGAGAGGAAAAACCTTGTCTTAGACACGTTGCCATATAAGCCTTGGGCTCTCACATGTGTGAACTATTACAGGAGAGAGAAATCAATGTCTACTTTAAGTTCTAATTATTTTTGGTTTCTGTTAGAACACTTGACATTTATCCCAATGAAAACAGCCACCAGAGCGGCCCGGTAGCCCCTAAGCTCTGCCTCAGAGTTACCAGGCATTCCTGGTAACTCTGACAGAGACCAGGAATGCCTGGTAACTCTGAGGATCTTACCTTGTAAGATCGGGCCCTGATTTGAAGGCAGAATTTGGATGCCAACAATAGTGGCAACTGGGGGGGGGCGGGGTTGATGGGAACTCCTACCATGTTCATTGGAAATATAGGGGCTCAAAATCTGTGTCATGTTTACTTCTCCTCCTGCCTTCTATAGTCACCCAGATTGTCACACACTGAGTCTTGCCTTTTCTCACAGCGAGTGTCTCTTGCATCACCCGCTCCTTCTTGCCTCCAGATCCTCAGGGCTTCGGGTCTATGTGACATTAAGAGCTTCCTAGAACCTTTCTCTGCCTTTCTTCTTTCTATGCTCCTATCCTTTCTATATTTTGATATCAGATGAATCTTTGTAAAATAGTTATTCCAATATCTTGATGTCCCTTCACGGATCTCTAATGACCCCTATATTATTGATAACTTTATCTGACCTCACCAGCCGTCTCTCCCTAAGTGAACTTTCCTTGTCTACTGAGTTAGTCATGCTTTCCTCAGAAACCTGTTAGTTCTGTTCCTTCACATCTTTGCTCTTAGGGCCTACTGACTGTGGTGACTTTTCCTTTTGCTTTTCCTCTCCAAAGCTGGCCCAGTCCCCACAGCGAGAAGGCCAAGCCTGTGCCTGCTCACTCTGACCTCTGCGTTGTCTGAAGTTCCCACGTCACCTGCAGCTGGTCATTTAATCATTCTTGGTATGATGTGTCTCTTACTAATTCCACTAGTTCATAGAATTGTTAGCACTTTGAGGTTGTCAATGATTCAGATGTGTTTTACCCCAGCTGGAATATATATTCAAATAGTGCTAATCAGAACCCCCTTTTTATTATATGCCCTCCCCCTTCTACTGCTTTGATCATATTAGAACAAAACTCAAAGTCAAACTCCACTGGGGGCAACCAAGCGCCCCGGGATTTATAATAGTGTTCCTCGCACAGCATGCTTTACACCTTCACTTTCAGGCAGTCTGAGGCCCCCCCTGTACCCTTTGAAGTAAATCACAACCCTCACTTCCTGTTTGGAGTTTGGGGGAGAACAGTGATGTTAAAGCCCACTGTGCATAAAGCAAGGAGGAGGGTGACCCAGCCAAGATCACAGGATCCTGAGTTTTGCCCTTGAGGTGAGTCAACAGTGACAGATGACTGTCTATCCTTGGCCACCATGTGCCAGAACCAGAATCCCTCTGTCATAAGAAGCCCACATCGGCAATCTGGATGATTTCACTTTATAAAGGTGGATTTCTTTCTCTAGAAGAGCCTGGATAAACTCAGAGATGACTCCTAATTCCAACACAATGACAAGCATTTTGTGGGAGCATAATAAATGCTTATAGGCTGTCTGACCACTGAATGAATGGCCACCTGAACTTTTGCGGTGGAATGAAGCTCTGATCCCAGAGATAAAATCATCCGCAACTTTCTCTTTTCCTTGTCATATTGCTTCCTAAAGCCTTTCTCTAATTTCTAGCTAGCCTGGTTTTCATTTCCTGCCTACTTTTTGCTTCTGCCTGCTTTGTTTTTTGTGCTTTTTACTATAGCGACCATATGGTAGAGCAAGCTACTGTGGTGCCCTCAAAAATACTAAGGCTTTCTAGTGCGCTGTGGTTTTTATTATCTATCTATCTATCTATCTATCTATCTATCTATCTATCTATCTACTTGCAAGAGGTAGTGGACTTCAAAGGTTTGGTCTAGCATCTAAAAGTGGGGTGGAGGGGCACCTGGGTGGCTCAGTCAGTTGGGCGTCTGCCTTCAGCTCAGGTCATGATCCTGGGGTCCTGGGATCGAGCCCCACATCGGGCTCCCTGCTCCGCGGGAGGCCTGCTTCTCCTTCTCCCTCAGCCTGCCGCTCCCCCTGCTTGTGCTCTCTCTCTCTCTGTCAAATGAATAAATAAAAATCTTAAAAAAAAAAAAAATAAAAGTGGGGTGGAAATAATGGGCATTCAGATGCTTTGGGCAATTGGAAAACTCCTTTAACCTAGCAAGATTTCGGTGGTGTGGTAAAATCTGTGTTTAGAAAAAGAACGTAGGTATCTTAGTAATTTAGCATTTATTTTGTCGATGGTAGCAGGTGTTTGCTTTGAAGCTTAGCACTAATACCAGGTAAGGGTGAGTCATAATGTCAATACTTTTTTTTTTTAACTTTGGTAATTTTTTTCAGTGGAAGGAGCTTCTCAGTCAGTTACCGCTCTGCTGATTATCTGACTGAGCAGAGAGTCCGACAGCAGCAGGGGCTGGGAGTGTGGCTGGGAGCAGGTTGGGGTGTAGAGTGCAGTGCGGGGCCCACTATGGGGGCGGGGGAACCTTGACTGGTCAAAGTGCCTGCAGGGCTGTCACCATGATTTAAAGCTCTGAGAAAATAAATTAGCAGGAGGTAGGCTGAGGGTGGATGGTGTCATTCTGGCCCTGAAAGGCCTTCATAAATCAGTGACAACTGAGCCCCAGCCAACTCCCTTCCAGATGGTTTCCGGAGGCCCTCCTTCCCACTCTGCTCAGACAAGTGGAAAGAAGTGATTCTTGAGTGGGTGGGATATTGCCCTGCCCTCCCCCTAGCTGTGAGATCTGAGCACTTGGGTTTTCACTGGAGCTGCAGGCTTTGCTCCCTGACGGTGAAACCTCAGGATCCTTGCTCCAGGGGCGGGACTCCGATTCTGGTCATGGGACGGATCTGCCTTTGACAGTGGTGGTGAGGGGGGAGGCTTTCTGTCCTATTGGATAAACACAATGGAGCTCTCTCTGAACAAGAATGGTTTGTTCCTTCCTTCTACCCTTTGTGCTTTGTTAACAGAACGTCCCTGGCGCATCTGTGCTCCAGCGTGCTGCCAAAAGCTTAGCTCTGTCCTTGCACAAGAGTGGGGGACACTGTCAGAAGATCAGCTGTAAGTTCCTCATCTAAAGGCAGATGGAGGAGCTAAAACCCTGCCAAGATCCCCAGGATGTTTCCAGTTTTAAGGTCTGAACTCGTTTCCCACAGACGTCTTCCCACCTCCACACTAGCCCATCAACTCCTCCCTCTAGCTACGGTGGAGATCTGGGGTTCAGGGTGTCTTTAGTGACCCTTTGTAAAGCAAGAGCACCCAGCCATCGACACCAGATGCCAGGGTATTTCTCTTTAGTCTCTTCAGTTCTGTGCTCCAGCAGGCTTTATATTTTACGGAAGAACCAAGAGTCACACCGAGGTCAGCTGTCGCCATCTTTGCCCCGTGCCCCCCCAAACTCACTCACCTCTCCTGTGAAGCGAGTAGGCACAACGTCATCTCGTCATCTCCGTCATCTTGTAGCAGAGAGTGGGAAGTATGCCCTGGAAGCGTCTCCTAAGAACTGAGGAACAAGATTCAGATGTCTCTCTGCACCTCGGCCAATCTGCTTTCGTCTCTCCCCTCGAATGCCAAATTCCTTTTACACACCATGAAAGGTAATTTACTAAGGCAGTTGGCCGAGCCTACACTTCCTGAGCTTGCCCCCTTTGTCTCTGCCGGCTGCTCAGCTCAGGGAGCGAGGGAATGTCTTCACGGTGCAGGGGCAGAATGTCCACTTCCGGTTCAGGGCAGAATGTCCACTTCCGGTTCAGGGCAGAATGTCCACTTCCGGGAGGGAAGTGTGTGGGGCTCCCTCTTTCCTGTGGCCAGACACGAACCACCTTAACTCTGGGACTCACAAATGCTTTGTTGTTTGTTTGCTTGTTTGTTACCGGGGATATAAGAAGGAGCAATAAACAGACCGAGTACCTGGAAATACTACTAGTGCGCACACACAGGAGGGCAGAATTATTTGTTCTTTAAGCATATGCTCTGTCTCCCGCAGGGCTTTTGCTTTATGTATCTACCCTGGCTCTTGCTGTTTTCTGGCTGTGTGACCTCGTACAAATGACTTTACATCTCTGTGCCCCATCTTCCACAGCTGATAACAATAATTAATTAATAAAAATGAACAAATTAATAAAAATTGGTTAACAAATTAATAAAAATAATATTATCTCAATATGGCTGTTGATGAGATCATAACCGTGGAGCTCTTAGAACAGTGCTTGGCACGCAGGAAGGGCTCAAACCTGGTAACATTTGCTGTATGTCTCTGTATGGCTTTTATTATTGTTTTTACTTTTAGTCAAGCATCAGCTCTCGTTTCTTGTGTTTTCTTTGTATTTTGAATTCAGGCCATGTGACTACAAGCTACCCGCCTTTGAGATTTCTCAAGCTGAAAGATCATTTGCATTTTAGGGACACCTCTCAGCATTCCTTTGGGAAACGGCCGTTGTGCGTTGCTCCCCTCCTTCCCCGGGGCTCCAGAAGGAGCACATAGCCCAAGCACAGCGCGGTCTCCAGCATGGCTGCCGCGATCTGCTTTCTTTGTGAAGCGTCCGTTGCTGCTCGCGTTGCCATCCCAACGTCCTGTGTGTGCTCTCGGCGGGGCCAGCAGGGGGAGCTCCGCGGCCGTTTCCCAGCCCCGCGCGGGGCTTTGTGGCTGGCACGGGCTTCTCCCACGGAGTCCTAAGGACCGAACCTGTGGATCTTGACGTTGGGAAGATAGGAACCGTCCTTGGCATGGAGATGCACTGTGCACTTATGCAAATAGGAGTGTGCGAGACAGAAAGCTGTATATTATAGCTGCTGAGAGCTTTGCAGTCAGACATACCTGGGATGATGAGATTTCTTAGTTTTGTTACCTCGTGCAACTGGCTTAACCTCCCTTAGTGACGGTTTCTTTCCGTGTAAACATGGAGAACCCCACCTGCCCTCATGGGGCTGCTGGAAGAGTCACCATGTGGCTAACAGAGATCTTAGCCATAGTGGCATTTAGGGGATGCTAGGTATCGTTACTCGGTGAACGCCGAGGAAATTTCGAAGCCCCCCAACCATGCGCAGGATCTTTTCTTCCTCCTTGCCCCACCACCTCCTTGTTCTCTCCTTCAGCTCCACTTTCTCCCCCCGCTCTTCACTGCCTGTATCTGAGGCCTGGGACCGACACCTGCGGCTGTGCCCGAGCCTCCTCCTGCTTGATCCCACAGGGCCAGGGGAGCTGGAGGAGAGGAGGAGCAAGCAGGGGGTTCTGAAGGCTGATGGGAACCCTGTCCTACTTCCCTTCACTTTTTAGGTGCATTCTACAAACCTCACTGGGGTCATGGTCACTTGGAAGGCAAAATGAACCACAAGCTTCTCACCAGACTCACCCTTATTCCATCCACCCTGCCAGGGATATGGGATGTCAGCAAGAATAAAGCCCCAGAAGATCATTCTTTATGGCTCAATGCACAGAACTGGCAGTGCTGTGTGGACATCATCCTGGGTGGCGTCCATCCTTACCATACCTGGGTACCTGGGTAGGTGTGAGCAGGGCTTCTGCAGGGGACTGGGAGCCTGGTGGTGGTGGTGCAACAAGGGGCGCAGCCCCAGCTGGGTCAGAGGAGGTCAGGCTTCTAAGGGTCCAGGCTCAGCTCGGCTTGGAAAACCCTTCAGGTCTGGGTTGACCCAGGTGGTTTGGTTTGGGGCCCATGTGGAAGTCTCCATGTGCCCTGTCCTCTGAATCTCAGATGAGGCCGGTATGTTCTGCAACTGGAGGACTGGTCTCCATGCTCTCTGTCTTCAGGGACAGGTTTCCTTTGTTTCCATCTGAAACTCTGGGTCTCTTAGTGGAGGGATAAAAGCCCTGTGGGTAGAATGACGAACTTGTTTTAGCCCTGAAAGTCCTGCGTCCCTGCGAAGCCCTTAGTCCTGGGTGGGATTGGCCACTTTGTGGAATGTAGCACATAAGGCACTGATCTGAGGCGGGATATCTCTGCAGGAGAGCTCTATGGCCCTAGGGGCACCAGGGAAGACGAGAAAAAAGAACTGCCATTTCCTCCCACCGCCAGAATCAATGTTGGCCTGACTCAGGCATTTCTCGCAACACCTAATGAATGGGGGATCCGAGCCAAGCCACTGTCTTCCAGAATTCAGCGGTGAGAGGGGTCAAAGGTGGACTCAGTCCAAAGGAGGACACCTCGGAATGGCCTCCTGCCTCCATCCAGGAGCCCCCTGTGTGCCCCTCAGCCCTCGGGAGCAGGGCTCTGGAGCCTCGGCCGCGGGCCCAGAGGCAGGCTGCGGCAAGCTCTGCGGGAGAGCAGCTTGCGGACCTTTGCCTCTAATTGGCTTCCATCTCCGCACACAGCCATTTCCTCTGCCTGCGGCAGAACTCATAAAACGCCAGGCTTTCCTCCATACCTTTGAAAAAGTTCAAAGGAACCCATATCCTAGGGAGATCTGGCAGCTCAGGCACCTGGATCTGAGGGGACTGAGGACTCGGGGTGCCCCCCCATGCTGCTTGTCAGTGTCAGTGTCCGGCGCTCCAGGGGAGGGGAGGCCCAAACCCACCAAGGCCAGCTCTGTTTTGTTTTATGGGATCAGGCTGTGCTCTTTAACCCTGCTCTGCTTGCAGCAGGAGCCCTCTTGCCACGGAGCAGGTCAGGAAACTGACGCCAAGCCCATCCTAGAGCGAGGGTGTGGTAAAGCCAAACTCAGCGCTGGTGAATCGGTCAGCCCTGCTCTGGCCAGAGGCTGCCTCCACGGTTTTGCTCCCATCATGCTTCTGCTCTGCCCTGGGGACCCTGTGTTCCCTGGGGGGCTGGAGCACACATGAGCTTATCCGAGCTCAAGGTGCGGATTGGGGGTAGGGTTTGCAGGCTCTCATGCATAGCTTTTTGGCATTGACCGAACCAGGTTCTTCCGCGGTATCCAAATTGATGATGTTTGTACATAAATATCTTAGACACTGTCCTAGACTTCAGCCCAACAGGGTTTCTAGGGAAAAATGAAACAGCTCCGTGCTGTCTATCCCAATTGGTGGCACTTACAAGGTGCTCAAGAAATGCTTGCTGAATGGATGAATAAACTCTGCTTATGAACAGGAAACTGGTATCTCGAAGGGGAGCCTGGTTTAGTCACAGGTATCTAGAAAGAGGATGGGGCTGGACTGGAAGGTGAAATTTTTATTGCTTTCCTCCCCCACTGACCTTCACTCTTTTACTACCCATCAAACCAGCTGGTAGATAAATAAGATAAGCTTATTTGATTGCACTGATGTGTACAGCGGAAGGCTTGCCAGAACCTTCACCATTCCCTGATTCCTACTGTTGCCCCCTAGCCCTCCGCTGCAATCCCTCAAGGATCCAGTCACCTCAGGATGGCTCAGTTTGTCTGACACCCAGAGCCCGGGCCCTCTGGGTTTTCTTTTCCTCCGGTGTTTGACTGAGCCCCTCCTGTAGCCCCTGGGCTAGTATGTGGCATCTGTAGCCATGTAATTCGGGGCCCGTTGGGCTGGAATGTCTGCCTGTTGCTTCACATCTACAGCCTCTAGATCATTTTGGGTGGAGGTGAGAATTGAGCCCTCCCTTTCCCCAACACACACATAGTCACACACAGAGCACACACACATATTCACAAACACTACACATACACACAAATGTGCAAACACACTCATACACCCAGACACACTAACATCTACAGACTCCCCCCACCTGCTCCCCCTGCTTGAGGACTTGGGCTAAGAGAGAAGACAGGAAACTGTCATCTGCGTTTAATCACAACATTCTGTATAACAATGATTCTGTAGGATTTTTTTGATGTACGTCTGATTGAAATTGCTCTCGGTTTTACCGATAACGATAGTTCAATGCTATAAAAATAGATACACGGTTTTTATTGTTTGCAGCCTCTGAAACAGGCTCATCTGCTCCGTGTTGAAAGAGTTTGAGGCAGAATATCCCTGAAGGTTTTCTTGTGTTGTTAATTTGCTTCTCAAACTCATCTGCTCAATCCCGCTGGGGTACATGTCACCCCCGCTCCACCCAGGGTATGAATATCAACGCTGAGTTCTGCATTAAAGAGGTTTGAATTCAGTTTGTCTGGCAACAGTTCTGACTGTAATGTGTTTTGTGCAATGAGTCACCAAGTTCAGCATCTCCCCACAATGGGGGGCTCTGTGTGGGGCTGGCTTGCTCTCCCGACCAGCCTCGATCGCTTCTGAGTGCTGTGAGCTTGGAATTGCGGGGGCGCTCTGCCTCTGTGCTCCCAGCTGGGTGGGCAGAGTTGTGCCTGTCTTTCAGGACTCTTGTGACGAGTAAGTGAGAGATTTTAGCAAAACCTCTGACACAGGTCTCGTCATCTGCAGACGTAACCCACTGGTGAATTAAATCTGATGGGCTGTGACCAGCGTTAAAAAAATAAATAGACAAAATAGAATAGATACTGATTTTTCTTTGGGCTGATGAAAATGCAAAAAGTTCCAAAATTAGATTATGGAGATGGTTGTACAACTCTGGAAATATACTAAGGACTACTGGGCTGTACACTTGAAATGGGTGAATTTTATGGTATGTAAATCATATCTCAATAAAGCTATTTGTTAAAAAAAAAAAAATTGGGAGCCCTAAAAAAAATCCATCAAGCTGCATGTTTGAGTTTGTGCACAACATTGTTATGGTATGTTAGACCTCCATTAAAAAGTAAATATAAAAAGTGGGCTAGAGAATATCAGGGTCCCTCCCAT